ACCGCGAAGGTTCGTAGGATTCCTCTCAACTTACTGATCCTGCTGATCTAACTGCGTATACAGATCGCGAAGGCCTTCGGGATGGAGGTTATAGGCTGGTCACCGAACCTCACTCCCGACCGTGCGGCGAGCGCAGGCGTGAAGTACGTGTCCTCCAAAGAAGAGTTGTTCAAGACCAGCGACATCGTGTCGGTGCATATGGTGCTATCGGAGCGCACACACCGCATGATTACGGCTGCCGATCTCGCTCTTATGAAGCCCACGGCGTTCTTCATCAACACCTCTCGCGGTCCTCTCGTCGACGAGCCCGCCTTGATAGAGGTGTTGAAGGCGAAGCGCATCGCGGCTGCAGGGTTGGATGTGTTCGACGAGGAGCCGTTGCCGTTGGACCATCCGATCAGAAAGCTGGAGAATGTGACTCTCAGCCCTCACACGGGCTATGTCAGCGATTCCAATTACGAGGTGCGTTTTCCGCCTCTTGGCCGTCATGCCGGTGATTGCTGATCGCGATACCTGGCTTATATAGGCGTTCTGGGGAGACACCGTGGAGAACATCGCAGCGTTTTTGGATGGGCGCCCGACGCGCGTTATTGAGTAGAGGGCTCCTCGTACTACAACAATGTATTATACCGGCTTGTTCACCTCTTCCAACGACGAGCAGCGTGTAGGAGTAGCGAATATGATCGTGATCTCGATTATTCTCGAGGACAACAGCCTTTGTAAGACGGAAGAAAGACAACTGGCACAAAAAGCCGCGTGACTGTCACTGGGCACGCGCCGTCACGCTCTTTGTATGCGGCTTGATTTGGGAGGCCTTTGCGCGTCGAGGTCTTCTTCCGCACAGTACATCTTTACCTCCTACATCCACCATCATGGAATCTCGTGTGGCACATCGCAAGAACGGTATGTGTTGCCGCCCTCTCTGACGCGTCCTTGCGCAGAATCTGAACACGATCACGACTAACCCGTCTGCATCTCTAGAGTACAAGAGCAAGGGTGGCTTGAAGCAGGACGAGCTTCGGCGCCGTCGTGAGGAGCAGCAGGTCGAGATTCGTCGGCAAAAGAGGGAGGAAAACATCTCGAAGAGGCGTAACTTCCTCCCCAGCACTGGTCCCGACTCCGACGATGAGAGCGGTGTGGGTAGCTGGGAGTCTCCGGTGCGTCTTATCACTCAGAGGCTCATCATGTCGGGATGCTCACTGTGGCGAACAGCTCGCGGAGGATATGATCGCTGGTGTCTTCTCCGATGACCCCGATCGCCAGCTCGACGCGACCACCAAGTTCCGCAAGCTGCTCTCAAAAGAAAAGAACCCCCCGATCGAGCGCGTTATTGAGTGCGGGGTCGTTCCGCGCTTTGTCGAGTTCTTGCGTGGCGACAACCCCATGCTTCAGGTACGTGTCGGCCCTGCTCGTTGCCTGGAATTTACATCTCAACGCCTCTTTAGTTCGAGGCCGCGTGGGCTTTGACCAACATCGCCTCCGGAACGGCGGAGCACACCCAGGTCGTCATCGGCGCGCAGGCCGTTCCAGAGTTCATCAAGCTCCTCTCTTCCCCCGTTCCCGACGTCCGCGAGCAGGCTGTCTGGGCTCTCGGTAACATCGCTGGAGATAGCCCGCAATGCCGCGACTATGTCCTCCAGCAGGGTGCTCTCCGCCCCCTGCTGAACCTCCTGAGCGAGAACAACAAGCTCAGCATGCTTCGCAACGCTACTTGGACCTTGAGCAACTTCTGCCGAGGCAAGTCACCTCAGCCCGATTGGGATCTGGTGCGTTTATTGCCTATTCGTCGCGAGAGCTCGCAGTTGCTAAATCAGTCGTCCTCCAGATCTCGCCAGCTCTCCCGGTGTTGACCAAGCTGATCTACTCCCTTGACGACGAGATCCTCATCGACGCTTGCTGGGCAATCTCTTACCTCTCCGATGGTTCGAACGATAAGATCCAGGCCGTCATTGAGTCCGGTGTATGCAGGCGTCTTGTCGACCTCCTGATGCACCCCTCGACGTCTGTTCAGACGCCTGCTCTCCGTTCCGTTGGCAACATCGTCACTGGCGACGACCTCCAAACGCAGGTCGTTATTACTTCCGGCGCACTCCCCGCTCTCCTTTCCCTGCTCTCCTCCCCGAAGGACGGTATCCGGAAGGAGGCATGCTGGACGATCTCGAACATTACGGCGGGCTCGCCTCAACAGATCCAGGCTGTCATTGACGCCAACATCATCCCTCCTCTCATCAACATCCTCCAGACCGCCGACTTCAAGACCAAGAAGGAGGCTTGCTGGGCCATCTCGAACGCCACCTCCGGTGGTCTCCAGGAGCCCTCGCAGATCCGATACCTCGTCTCGCAGGGTTGCATCAAGCCCTGTGCGACCTGTTGCAGATGATGGACAACAAGATCATCCAGGTCGCTTTGGACGGTCTCGACAACATCTTGAAGGTCGGCGAGATGGATAAGCAGGCGCAGGGCCCCGGCGGTGTCAACCAATACGCCCTGTTCGTCGAGGAGGCGGGTGGTATGGTCACGATCCACAACCTCCAGCAGCACGACAACCTCGAGATCTACAAGAAGGCGTTCAATATCATGGACAAGTACTTCCCCGACGACGAGGAGGCGGAGCCTGCAGTCGATGCTACAGGGTCGTTCCAAGTAAGTCTATCAAGATCAACCGTAGGGTGCACTCGGACTAACCTCTACTGCGCAGTTCAACCCCGACGGTGCCGCGCCGCCACCTGGTGGCTTCAGCTTCGGCCAGTAAAGGGCGGGCAGTTGTGTAGCCTCGGTCATTATCTTCCATCCTTCTTTTGTTCCTCTATCTCACTATCCATCCCACATCGTGTATCATGCAGCACCGTACTGAATATCAATCGCGACGCTTCCTGTTTCCCGATGTGGTCTTGTGTCCTCGTTGGCATGACTGGTTACGGGTTCCGTGCGCTGTCTTTATTCCCCATTGCCCATGAACGGTTGAACCCTTACGTGTATATCCCCCTGATGATGACAAGCGTATGTATTATGTCCTAGATATGACGAGCAGTGTGTATGCAATGATACAGTGACGTGAAATCTCTACATGAACACTGCGATGCGAAAGAGACGACCTGGAAGAAGGAGCAAGTCGGTCCGTCTTCTCCGCAGACCTACCGCGCGTCAGTTGTCCAATTAGGAAGGTGATCAGTGGTTTACCAAAAACCAGCACGACATGGCATCCCAGATCCTCCCGCTCGGTGAGAGGCAACGTCAAAAATACAACGAATGGTAGGCTGAGCTGATGCAACATAGAATTGATTGATAGGTGCATTGGATCGCGCATATGGGTCATCATGAAGAACGATAGAGAATTTACGGGCACGCTGCTCGGGTTCGACGACTTCGTCAGTGAGTACGCGTACTTTTTCGTCCTCCAACCCAGCTAAAGCACTGTCCTTGATAGATATGGTCCTGGAGGATGTGACGGAGTAGTGAGTGCCTTGTCTCCAGCGATCGCATGTGTACTCATAGGGCGACCGCAGCGAGACGACGCCACAAGGAAAGAAGAAAACGACACTCAACCAGACATTGCTCAACGGCAACAATATCTGTATGGTAGGGGAATCCTAGTTCCTGAGGAGAACCGTTGACTGAGCGACGATCACACAGCTGATCCCCGGTAGCTCTGGACCTGAGGACGTGTAAAATGCTCTGTGCTTTTTGTTCGCATGGCATACGTCGATACATTGTATCTTCTCACTGCGCTCTGAATATGATCTCGAGTTTGCATCGCATTCATGGTGACCCTCAGGGTACTCTGACATGTCTCCAGCGGCATCGCTGATGGGCTCGCCATCGGGTGTGCGTGATGCTGACATTCAAGTCTACAGAATCACGGTCGTGTCCAGCAAGTTACAGATGTGAATGATTGTACAAGACTGGCGCCCCAGAAGAAGCATGGTCACGGAGGAAGTCGATCTGCGGTAGGCCGTCGACCAAGCTCAAATGCGAGAGGAATGGCTTATGAGTGCGAGGCCTGGGGCCTTTATGGCTGGTCGCCAAGCGCAATATGCATCTGGTGGGTTGTAGCCCCGACGCGATCGCCAGACGAGCAGTACTTAGGTTGACTGGAAGTTGACTCCGCTGACGATCTCGGTGCCGGGGAAGCCGACGACATAGATTTTGCAGGTTCCGACTATAACCAGGCTGGTGCGGGTAGAGCGGCGAGCTTACGTCGTCGGTGTGGTGGTGCTGAGCGGTGAGCCTAAGGTTCTTTGACGAGACACAGTCGCTCTGATTCGGGCTGCCGCTTGAGGTCTAACAGACGGGCTTGGTCGGCTCGGGCGTCGGGCAGGCTATGGCGACAAACACAATTACTTAGGGAACGGTGTGTAGAGGAGAAGGGCAGTGCGTAACGCACCCTTCTCGGTGAGCGACGCCAATCCACCCGCGGTAGCGGCGAAGGTGTCGTGGAAAATGAAGGCATCAGTGAGCTTACTTATAGTGCGAAGAGTAAACGGTGGAACGAGGAATCGAAGGCGATCGTGCTCAGCGGGAGGAGTAGCAAGCAAACGACTCACCAACTAGCCTGAGACTGCGCGGCATTCGGAGCGTGGGGCAGGAGAGCTCATCATAGTGTCGACCCAACTGCGGTCTTCGCAGGACCGTCAACTTGAATTCGGATTCGGTTAAGGTGATCAACTACGGCGGCAGCCTGTAACATATGCCAGCGTGCGTTCATGTTGGCCCTTCGAAGTGGTTTTCTGCTGGATGAACATACTTCCAGATTTGAAGTTGATCACCGTGGCGTACATCTTTGATTCATGTTGACTGTAAATAGGGTCCTCTTGCAGTGTTGCCTATGTGTTAGGCTATTCTCATATGCGAGGTCTTCGGGTCGTCCTTTCCTTGCCGCACCCGTGCCAGCCCGCTTTAAGGAGCCTGAGACGAACTTGCAGGGTGGTTATGTCGAGAGGTGCCGCACTGTCTCACTACTTGGCGCTAGAACATTTGTGTCACGTGGAGGTAGTTGGCATGGCCGCCTGGCGTAATGGCAACGCGTCTGACTACGACTTGGGCGTTTAACGTTTACGTAAGCTTGATCAGGAGATTGCAGGTTCGACCCCTGCGGTGGTCATCCTTTTTGCGTAAGCACACACCCGAGCGCTTGCGCGACATTTGTCGCGTCCGCGTCTGGGTCCAGAGCTCTCTCTCTCTCTCTCCATCTGTCCACCATGGCTGTCAGACTACGAATGGCCGTTCATGGCGTTCGCAACAGCCGCATCTTCCATCTAGTCGCAGTCAACCAACGGCAGCGGCGAAACGCGAAGCCCATCGAGCTCCTCGGTGTCTACGACCCTCGGCTCAAGCCCGGCGAGAGCACGAAGACCATCGAATGGAGCGTGCAGCGGATACAGTACTGGCTTAACGTCGGTGCTACCCCTAGCAAAACAGTGACGAAGCTATTGCAGATGGTGCGTATCAACATGTATTCGTTGCATTCTTTTGCTAAAGAGCAGTTGTAGGGTGGCATCCTTCCAGCGCAGCGGACAGTGTCCGAAACCGTGTCTACGCCTCCGTCACCGTCACCAGAAGCCGCCTCACAGCCCTCCGCATAGCTCTGGGCTTCATGACTATCCGTATATGCACACTGCGCAGCACCCGACGTTGCGAACGCACGAGCTCTGACCTGTCCGGCCCCCTGGACACATCGACACGCCGAGGGTGGACGGAGCATACGAAGGCAGGAGGGGGGACATGAGTACACGGTTACGGTGATGCATTCTGTGTATCCAAGAGCAGGGCCACAATCTCAGTATGTCCTGCGATATCTGCCAACTCCTTTGCCGTGAACTCGTCCGGGTCCTATGTTCGAGAATCCGTGACCGACACCCGTAACGTACGAACGTTGGCACGCACCTTGGTCTCCGGGTTTGCCCCTCGCTTGAGCAAGATATCTACGACTTCAAGATGTCCTCTGTCTGCTGCTAGGTGCAACGGAGTGTATCCCTGTATCGTCACGGCGCAAGGATGAGTTGACCGTTCGCGCAGGCGGGAGGGTGAGTCTTACATTTTCGTCCACGGCATTCACGTCCGCATCCGGGTGCCCTTGAAAGTACGCCAGCACCGCCGGAACGTCCCCTGCGATAGCCAGATTGCTGAGCGCACTTGAGCTCCCTTCGTCATCTTCCATAGCCAGCGTACTTGTGACCCGACCCATCGCCCCGCCCTCACCCTTGGGCTTCCTAGCCTCTCCTTCATCGTCCGAGACGTCCCATATGTCCTCCTCTCCCCCCTCCGCAGACTCCTTGGGCTTCGATGGCGCAGGCTCACTCGCCTTGCCTTCACTCCACCCCAAGCTCCGTGCAATCTCCAAGTACCGCTTCTCAGCGTCGGCCGGTCGGTCCTGGTATGTCTTCCCGGCAGTCTGCCATGCTTCCCACTTTGCTTTGCCGGCAAAGTCGAATAGGGACGGCTTCGGTACGTTGGGCGTCGGAGATACCGTCAGATACTTGAAGATGGCGTACAGCTATCCTGAGCCCAAGCATCGAAGACAAATGTCAGGCATAGATCACAACTGGATGGATCGGATGGACTCCGAACCTCCAGCTTGGTCGCGTTTGACACGGAGCTCAGGGACGACGCCTTGGACAGGTATGTGGCGGCCTCTTGGAAGGAGGCAGATGGATTATAGGTGGTGACCATGGTGGTAAGGTACACGGTAAAACAGTGTACGTTAACGTTAGAAGTAGATGAGTCCCCGCGCGAGTTACAGTGGCCGTATCCTAAGTCTATTACGTAAGCAGACAGGAACGAATAACTACCCAACGACAAGTCCCCCTACGCAAGGCCAGCGGCTTGCATTGCCTGCAATGTCACGGTGAATACACATCCATGTGCGCATGTGAGTGCGACGCACCTTGAGCATGGTGGAACCAATCTTGGCTGGGCTGTCGGTGACATGGACGCCGGCCTTCTCGAGAGCCGCAACCTTGTCCGACGCAGCACCTGCAAGTGATTGCGAATCAATGTCAAAAACCGTCTTGCACGAAGAATTCGTCTGCTTACCCTTGCCGCCGGAGATGATAGCACCGGCGTGACCCATACGCCGTCCGGGCGGAGCAGTGCGGCCAGCGATGAAGCCGACCACAGGTTTGGGGTTCTTGCGGGTCTTGTTGTACCGCTCGAGGTACTCAGCAGCCTCCTCCTCCATGCCGCCGCCGATCTCGCCGATGATGACGATACCCTCCGTGCGGGGGTCATCAAGGAACAGTTTCACGACGTCGACGTGCTTCGTGCCGGGGAAGGGGTCACCGCCGATACCGACGACGAGCGACTGGCCGAGACCAACGCCAGTCGTCTGTGCGACGGCCTCGTAGGTGAGCGTACCGGAACGGGAGACGATACCTGGCGGAACGCGTTAACAAGGACGTGCGTGTAGTGGATAGCGGGGATTGAACTGACCGATACGACCGGGCTTGTGGATGGCGCCCGGCTGAATACCCATCTTGCAGCCCTCGGGGTTAATGATACCGGGGCAGTTGGGGCCGACGAGACGCGACTTGGATTGGCTCTTGAGCGCGTTCATGACCTATCACAGGCGGGCGGTCGCAACAAGATCGCCGCGCTCGGAGCATGGCTGGACACTCACCTTAACCTCGTCCAGCTGGGGAATGCCCTCCGTAATGGCAACAATGAGACCAATCTCGTTCTCGATGGCCTCAATGATGGCGTCTGCGGCGGTGGGTGGTGGTACGTAGAGGACGGTCGCATCGGGCTTTACTTCCCTCACAGCCTGGCGCAAACGATGGGTGACGGGGGGTTGTAGCAGTTGAATGACACACGTACCTCCTTGACGGTGCCAAAGATAGGAAGACCAAGATGGGTCTGCCCCGCCTTCTTGGGAGAGACACCACCGACCATGCGAGTACCATACGCGAGCGCCTCTTTTACATGGAAAGTACCCTGTGATAACATGTCCGCTTCGAATGAGCGACGAAGCACAACCGTGAGAGGCATAGCAACGTACAGTCTTTCCGGTGAGACCCTGGCAAAGCACCTTGGTATCCTTGTGGATGAGGAGGTTGGGTATGGTCAAGTCGTAATTGCGGCGAGCCGCAGACTGCGAGAACGCCCGGCGCCCAGCTGATTGGGATGGAACAGATCAAAGACTGTCCGGAGTGGTCGAGACGTGAGGCTGAGCATTACCTGCGGACGAGAAGGACTGCCCAGCACGACGAAGCATTGGAGGTAGAGAAAGGAAGAGAGTTGCGCTGGCTCGTCCAACGCGCTCACCGCGTCAAGCTCTGCCAGCATCGCTCTTCTTTTGGCAGATCACGCACGTGCCTACTTCCGCACTGGTTACCGGCACTGCCACCCGTAGAATCACGCACCAGAGACCACGTCCGCGGTAGATGGTGTATCAATACAGATGGTTGTACTCAAGCTGCGTATGTATAGGTACAATTCTTTGCTCACTTGCACTATCCGCCTACTCCCGGCCATCCAAGGGCCCTACACGTCTCCGCTCGCGTGCCTTCCGCGAGGCACGGCGGAGGGCCCTGAGTGCATACTTCACTTTGTCGTAGTCCCGAGACTGCACGGAGCTGCGCCAATCATCAGCATGGTGCAGACGGTAAAGAAGGGGGAAAGGAATGCAAGACTCACCTGTTGACGTCCGAGATGAAGGTGGCCTTGACCGCATCCGTGACCGTGATGGGCGGGAGCTGCTGGACGGCTGGGGTCACCCACGCAAGCAACTGCGTCGGCCAGAGCGAGCCCAGCACCCGGAAGATGGTCACCACCATTTGCATGGACTCTTCCGGGAACTCGCCGACCGTACCGGAGAGCAGCAGCGCAATGAGCTCCGCACCTTCCCGTTCTACGACAGGCTGGATGGCAGCGGCGTAGATGGGGAACTTCGGAGGCGGCGGCTGCGCAGAAGGCTGGAGACACTCGTGGCTAAGGATAGAGCGGATCAAGTCGAGCGCTGCAAATACGATGTCAGAATGCACGAGGGTCAGCGCGGCCATCGCCGCGCGGAAAGCGATAGCTAGGGCTGGCGAAGGGAAGAAGACATCAGGAGTGAAATCGATCATCTGCAAGGTCATTTGCAGATAGTCCTCCATGACTGTGCGACGGGTCAGCGTGTGTATCACCACTGGTCGGGTATGACAGACTCACCGTCTGGTATCATCTGCGGCGGTCGATCGGAGAGAATCGCGACCAGTTTCTGCGAGGACCGCTCGTACACGTCCTTGAAGGCTGCCCGTACTGCTGGGTCTTCCTCGTTTCCGAAGCGCGAGACAACCTTGCCCGTCAGCCACAAGTAACTTGAGAATCCAGTCGCCTCGAACGACGCAGCCAGCCTTGCCAGCACCGACGGGATGATCGGTAGTGTCGCCGACCCGAAAAAGTTGAGTCCCAGGCGAAGGACGCGAGTCGTCCGCTCGCAGACGTGGTAGTCGGTGCCGTACTTTGCAATGAACGGCTCAAAGACAGCCCACGCCTCTTGATATGTGTTCTGGCAAGCCGCAGGAAGCTGCTCGCCGAACGACTGGACGACGCCAAGCATCGTCTCGAGGTTCTCCAGGTCGTCTGCAGGCTTTTTAGCCAACGGTATGCACAAAGAGGCACAGTACACCTACTGGTAATCATCACAAGCTCATCCTTTGTCGCCGGTGTGCTCTTGACGTTCAACTGGTGGACCCGCCCTAGGATGTCCAGCGAGAACGTACGCAAAGACTGCGCAGCCTGCTCCATCGGCATCGCCGAGATGACATACGCGATCGCCTCGTACACCTGTACCTTGTCATCCTGAATGAGCTTGTTGCCCATGGTCGCCAGGAAGGAGTGGAGCTGCGGCAGGAACTCGACTAGATGCTGCAAACCAGAGCGACTCAGCAGAGTCGCACCAGGAGGAGGAGGAGGAGGAGGTCTGCGCACCCGTTTGCAGTCCTGGCACAGGTACTTGAGTGCCTGGCCCGCGGCCGCGTTCACCTCTGTGTCGTTGTCCTCGAAGCCGGCGGAGATGTACTGGAGCTGCGCGGGGATGTAGTCCGGGTGCTTGTTGATCCACTCGGTGTAGCGGGAGATGATGAGGAGCGCGGCGTAGCGGACGCGCGGGTGTAGGGGCAG